AGGCACTTTTTAAACAATTGAAGACTAGGGGAGAGTCTGATGGCGGTAGGCAGGCTATTCCATAGGAAGGGAGCCGCCCGTGAGAAGTCCTGCAAGTGTGAGTTGACCGTACAGGTGCGAGCAGTGGACAGGAGAATGTTACGGGCAGAGCAGAGAGACCGAGAAGGGGCATACCTATGGATCTGAGATGAAATATAAGAGGGGCTAGAATTGTTCAGTGCCTTAAATTGTTCAGCATTTTAAATTGACTCCTATAGGATACAGGAAGTCAATGCAAGGACTGACAGAGGGGTGAGGTGTAAGAGCACCGACTAGAGAGGGAAATCAGTCTGGTGGCAGCATTCATTACAGACTGTAGCAGGGTAATACGGCTTTAGGGAAGACCAATTAGGAAAGGGTTACAATAATCCATGCGAGAACTTACTAGAGCATGGACAAGCTCCTTGGCAGCATCTTGCGTAAGAAAGGGGCGGATGTGGGCTAGGTTTTTAAGATGGAATCTACAGGATTTGGTAACATACTGGATGTGAGGTTTAAAGGTGAGGCCCAAATCGTTCCATCATGAATTGTTTAGTGTTTTTGTACTTGGTATTTTCTTTGCTTTCTTAATATTTAACCACTGTTTTAGTGAGTGATGAGCATTATTTGATTTGCACAGCCTGTCCAAAATGCTAGTGCAGTTATCAGGTCTTGCTTTATGTGTTCGTGTCACAGCAGAAACCAAGATTGACATTTGTGGAAGCACAGACTGTCCGTACTGAGTGGGCTACTAGGTTTTTGAAAAATACTGTTTAAGTTCAAGGAGATATTTGTGAATTTTAAACCCTAACATACTTATTATTGCACTAAGGCTGTTTTTTTTGAATAGCTAAATCTTTATTAGTTATGTAATTCTTGATAATGCAATAACATATACAATACGAGCCTGCACTGCATTTCAGGGCTCACGTGCCACTAGCCATTGGCATGTGAAAATGTAGTCCTGGCAAGTAGAAATTCACCTCTGATAAATGTGTCATGTGCATTCCAGGTTGCAGTGCTGACTAACTATTAAGGCCTGGTGGCAAGAAGCGTAGGATGTGGAATTTTAAAGGAACACTATAGTCACCTAAATTACTTTAGCTTAATAAAGCAGTTTTAGTGTAGAGATCATTCCCCTGCAATTTCACTGCTCAATTCACTGTCATTTAGGAGTTAAATCACTTTGTTTCTGTTTATGCAGCCCTAGCCACACCTCCCCTGGCTATGATTGACAGAGCCTGCATGAAAAAAAAAACTGGTTTTACTTTCAAACAGATGTAATTTACCTTAAATAATTGTATCTCAATCTATAAATTGAACTTTAATCACATACAGGAGGCTCTTGCAGGGTCTAGCTATTAACATAGCAGGGGGTAAGAAAATCTTAATTAAACAGAACTTGCAATAAAGAAAGCCTAAATAGGACTCTCTTTACAGGAAGTGTTTATGGAAGGCTGTGCAAGTCACATGCAGGGAGGTGTGACTAGGGTTCATAAACAAAGGGATTTAACTCCTAAATTGCAGAGGATTTAGCAGAGAGGCTGCAGGGGCATGTTCTATACACCAAAACTGCTTCATTAAGCTTAAGTTGTTCAGGTGACTATTGTGTCCCTTTAAGCTCTATTACATGTTATATATGACTGCCTTGACATTTTGACATTACTACGCAGTGCTCGAGGGATCATTCAGGTGGGACTGTGGGAGACTATTTTAGGACTCATTCTTATAAGTTTGTAATTGAAGTCAAATTTAGATGGCAATGTAAATAAGTATTTGAATTTAGTTTGCTTGTCTAATTAAATTAAGATTAAATCTCCATTTTTTATAAACAAAAAAACAACTTTTTAATAACACCTTAATGAAATGTGCTGTGCATGCTTATGTATATTATTCTTCTGAAATTGTCAACTTGAACCTAGGTAGACTGTGGCTACTAAGGGAAATTCAAGGTTCGCAATACTGGTAAGCTATGACATCCCAAACGTTACTGACACCATATACCAAGATCAGCTTGTACTATTGATAAAAAGCAGAATGGATCGGTAGTTTACACAATTCTATCCCTCTCCAGTCACGTTTAGGTCTTAGCAAAAATTTAGATTAGCTAAACTAGACAATTATTTTTTAGAACCTCACTATTACATCATCTTCCTATTCTTTCCCAACAGTAGAGAAATGTAACTGTCTTTTGCTTCAGCCTATGAACTTTGATATATAGTCAGTTACAGTTAAAAACTCTACATGAGATACTTTTTTCATTTTAGTAATTTAAATGCTCAAAGTTTCCATTTTCACCACGAGTTCTGTTTTTGAAATAGCTTTTTTTTTAAAGTCTGTAACTACGATGCCTCTCTGATTGCGTCCGGTAAAGAGTTCCAGAAGGTAGGGGCAGTGTGGCTGAATGCCCAGGAACCCGAGTCTATCTTTATTCTTGGCACTGACAGGAGGGATTTGCTGGCTGACCGAAGTGAACGGGATGGAATGTAGGGTATCAGGAGCTCTTTCAGGTACTGTGGGCCTTGATTGTTTAAGGCTTTGAAGGTTAGCAGGCCAATTTTAAAATATGTTCGCAAGTACTACAGCTCATTGAGAAGCAAAAGAAAGGCATGGTCACAAATGTGTACTCATGGCTCCAACACAGAGGATTCTCAATGAGAAGCCTCTGATTACAATATTCCCTGGTGCAGACTGAAAGTCAGTGCCTGGTAAAGAGGGGAGGGCTTGCAAAGGCTGCCGACAGCCTCATATACCCCCAAAGAAACAGAACTCTAATTTTTGTGTCATTTGCAATGGAATAATCACCTTAAAGCCTTTAATCACCTACACTGGTCATTCTTAGTGGAAGTCATGTGCAAGTTTATTTCCCAGTCAAACTAATTAGAGCCATTATGGTAATATGCCATGGTCTGCCTCATGTTTAATATGTGATTCCATTATAATCCATTTGCAGTATGAAATGGGAATATATACTGGTGTCCTCTTTCATGAAAAAGCCAACCTTTAATGGAAACTGAACATAATCAGATAACATTTTCAATAGACACTTATTAAGAAAAGTGGAAAAGTATTCCTTAAATTCCTAAAGATGCTAGAACACCAATTGTAAAACTAGGTAGTGGACAGAGAGACAGACATACCATCCATGATGGAAAACAAAATAAAAAAGTGCAGTTTTGTGGCATGAGGTTGATACACACAGCCCATATATTGGATGGAAGGAGAAAGTCATTTTATATAATAATTAATAGATATGTACAGTCCAAAAGCATGAAATTGCCTGTTATTAAACGGCTTAAAAAAGACACCAAAAAGAAATGGAAAAATAGAAAGACGGAAGCAGAGAAAAGACTATGAAAGGAAATATTAAATCCTTCTATATTAATTGGTACAATCGAAACAGGAGAGACATATAGAGTATAAAAGCATGAATTAAGAAAGTGAAGAAAAATAATTTAAACACTTTTTACACAGCATGATTTATTTTCTATATCACAAGACTTACATTAATGGTCCTATACTTTTAATAATTATTGTTGCATTGAAGCATGAGAAATTATATATCTCACATCACTTTGAGAATTTTTTTTTTTAATATGATTAATGAATGTTTAAGCGATGATATTAACAATAATAATAAATAAATTTAATACGAAGAAACGCAAAAGGGTTAGCTAGAGAGGGATATAAGTCAATAAATAATCACGATTTAATAGAAATCTTTATATATAATTATTTTTGTTGGATATGTTATAAAAATCACAGAGATCTGGTTAACTAATTAATTCTGAACGGCACTTTATATAAATATTTAACACATAAAATTGTATCCACGATTTTGGTTCTCTAAGCATAACACTGTTAAAATAGAAAGATTATTACACTTATTGTAAGGATTAAAATAGAATGAGACAGCATTCCTGACACGAATAGGAAAACAGAGAAAAAGCCTGATAATAGGAGTTAGTCCTTTTTAATTATATTTTTTTTCCCATTTTCTCCTCCCTCTCTCTCTCCAGATTGTCCCCCCTCCCTGTGGGTATCTATACGATACTTTGATGTTAGAGTCATGTTGTATTCCAATTTGCAAATGTTGCATTTTTTGCAACGTTTCTTTTTGTAAGATATTCTTTAACATCTTAAAATATTTGGTATTTAGTTATAAATGTTATTGTCTGATCACTTGGTTGGATAGGATAAGGACAATAGATATTGTAATAGTACATAAAAAAAGGAAAAGAAATGAAGGAAAACTAATGATTAAAAATGTTAAAACTAATATCAATTAACGCTCAAGGACTCAACTCCCCAAATACTACTTAATACTCTACTCAAAGAAAAAGCTCAAATTCCCTTCATTCAGGAAACTCATTGGAAGAAGCAAAATAAAAAAAAATAAGCAGTATTGTGGAATAGTGGAATTATATGTTTCAAATGTTACCCCTCCATATCCCAATCCATTGGCTTCAATTAATACAAAGAAGTTTTACTCAATATATTTGGAAAGGCAAGAAGCCAAGACTGAAGCAGTCAATATTAGTGCAGAAAATACATAAAGGTGGACTTGACTATCCATTCATAATGAATAACTTCAAAGCAGCTACTATCTTACATGTATATAGAATGCAAATTAAAGAAAATAAAGAAGAGGGATGGTATAAAATGGAAATGAAGGCAGGAGAAGTTTCCAGCCTGGAATGTTTAATTTGGAATATAAACAAAACGCCAAAGAAAAAAGAGTATGCTAGTATCATTTTAACTCAATTATTAGAAAACTGGTTAAAAATTAAAAAAGCAATGAATATAGAAAAAAAAGTCCCAAGCTACTTAGAGTTAGACATTGTAGAAAAACAAGTGGAAGATTTAAATTTAAATAATTAGAAAAAAGAAGGGATAAAGACTTTGAACCAATTATTGATAGAAGGATCAATCAAAACTTTTGCTCAAATAATAGGGGAATACAATCTCCCTTCTAGAGAGTTGTTTAATTTTTTAAGACTTAAAAGTTATATGAATATACACCTTATAATACCAAAATCTAACTCAAGTAATTTGATAGATTTATTATTTATGTCAGAAAAGATTAATAAACCACTCTCTAAAGCACTGATTTTAATTAAATCAATGGCCAAAGACACAAACCCTACTGCCATACAGGTTTGGAAACAAGAATTGAACATTGATATTAATTTGAATCAATGGGGTTCTTCAATGATGGATGTTAAGAAAAATATACACTCATTAAATCTATTAGAAACTCACTTTAAAGTTTTAAATAGGTGGTACTTAGTACCAGCTAAACTGAACAAAATTTATCCTCTAACTAACTCTATTTGTTGGAGATGTAATAGTATTAGAGGCAATTTTAGACATATTTGGTGGGATTGCCATAAATTGAAGAATCTTTGGTTGAAAATTCAACATTTTATATCCAATAATTTAAAACTCGAGTTGACAATTTCTCCAGAAGTAGTTTTGTTACATCTAAATTGGCCTCATATGACATACGAGTTAAAGGCAATCCTTATACATCTTTTTTTAGCTGCTAAAATAGTAATTGCGAGATGGTGGAAAAAAGACTTAGAAGTCCCCTGGAAGAAAGTTAAAACTCAACTCGAGTTTCAGATTAAAATGGAGTTGATGCTAAGTAAACAAAGATTGAGCAATAAGATTTCTGTTTGGACAAAATGTATAGAGATGATTGGCGTAGAGAATAATGTTGATTAATTGGAAGTAGAGAATCCCATGAACATTGTAAATAAGTATGAGATTTATTTAAACGATTTTACCACTCATTTATGGAAATTTTTTCCTGATGTATTTTTCGCTCCCCTCCCCTATTTTGCTGCTATGTTGTTTGTGTATTGTATGTATTGTGAATTTGTACGATTTATGTATTTGTATGATATATGTATTTTATAAGGATAAGAAAAAAAAAAAGAAAAATACAAAATAAAGATTAAATATTCAAAAAAAATAAAAAAAATAAGCAGTATTGGAACTTTAAAAAGTTCCCTATTATTGCTGATGCATCAGATCAAACAAACAAAAAAAAGGAGTAGCGATAATGTTTTCAAACTTGATCAATTACTCCTGCATGTATTCTGAAAGTGACTTAGAAGGGAGATCTATTATCTGGATTGGGAAGATTAACGAGATTCAATACACCCTACTCAATATTTATCTCCGCAATAAAGCACCAATTAAATATTTCTCAAAAATATTGAGAAGAGTAGAAACAATCCGAGAAGGAATATTATTGATAGCGGGAGATTTTAACCCTAAATTAGACAAGCAAATGAAACCTGGCCAACTTCCAGATAAAAATCTTGCTAATCAAGCATCCTCGTTATGTAAATTAGCTAAAAGGAACGGCATCTACGATTTATGGAGAACATTTCATCCCACAAACTCTATCTACAATTATACAAATTACAAGCTCAGAATAATGAGAAATTTTCCCAAGATACAATAGTCCTAATTAAAAAATATAAAAATGTGATTAATCAAAAGATCCTCGAAAGAATCGAATTCAGCTTAAAACGATTAAAAACTAAATTTTATTACCGGAATAATAAAATAGATAAAATATTAACAAGTTGACTTAAAAAAAATAAAATAGAGAATAAGATCTATAAAATTATTGAAGACGGAAAGGTTTTATTGGCCCCTGGAAGATATAGGGAACTTATTCAGGAAGTATTACGAAAGCCTATATAATTTACACCATATTTCCACAGATCAGGCCATCGATAAAACATTAAAAAAAAATATTATCCCTAATATAACAGCAACATTTAATAAAATTGGCTAGTCAGGCAAAATAGCACGAGAATTATTAAGGGCCAATATAAAGCCTATTTTGAAACCTAATAAAATTCCAACAGAAATAACAAACTATAGGCCTATTTCTTTAATAAATATAGATATCAAACTATATGCCTCAGTATTATCCAGAAGACTTAATTTATTACTTCCTGAATTGATACATATAGACCAAATAGGGTTTGTTAAAGGTCGCCATTCTAGTGACAATTCCCGTAGAATCAGCGATTTATTTGAATACGCACAATTAACAGGGACACCCCTTTTGACCCTATCGATCGACACAGAAAAGGCCTTCAACAGGGTCGGATGGGGATATATGAACAAAGTTTTGACTGCATTCGGGTTGGAAGGATGGATTGCAGTTGCAATTGGAGCTCTCTATATGGGCCCATCAGCAAGAATAGTAGGATTCGATATATGCTCAGAATGGTTTGACATTAACAATGGGACGAGGCAGGGGTGTCCGCTATCGCCCCTGCTATATGTTCTCTCAATCGAACCATTCGCTATAACCATCAGAGAAAATTTGGGAATAAGAGGTATGATAATAGAGGAAGTAGAAGCAAAGATATGCCTATACGCAGATGACGTATTGATCTCTATTACAGATCCTGCCATCTCACTCTCTCATTTAATGCAAGAGATTAAAAGCTATGGGGATGTTTCAAACTATAAGATAAATCTTCATAAAACTATTGCATTAACAATTAATGTAAATTCTTATATGCTAGGTTCTCTTCAAGAGAAGTATAATTTCCAATGGACTAAAAAAGAGTTCCAATATTTAGGAATTACTATTATGGCAAATCTACAAAAAATAGTAGAGACCAACTTTTTAAAAATGATAAAATAAACAAATAAAACTTTAAAAGAATGGCGCCCCTTAGAAATTTATTGGTGGGGAAGAGTCAATAAAATAAAAGCATATGTTATCCCCAAATGGGCCTATATTTTCAACATGATTCCATTGAAAGTTCCTAAACCTTGGTTAGATATGCTTCAACATTCACTTTCTAATTTTATTTGGAATGGGAAAACACCAAGAATAAAATCCCAAATTTTAACAAAAAAAATTAATCAAGTTGGAATGGCTTTTCCACTCATTGAAGATATATATAGCGCTAATATTATTTCTCATATTCATAAATTCCATATCCCAGACTTGAGAAAACAACCCTGGTATCAGATAGAATCAATTAGAACAAAAGAGAAAGATCTAGCCCTTCTGATTTGGGATGACAAAACTAACTATAAGACTTATTTAACTCAATTCAATTCTATTATTGTATCCCATCTAATTGAAGAATGGCAACGAATCAAAAAATTTCTTAATATATAAAAAAAAATAATTGAAGGAGCGAACATTCGGGTTTTGGAAAGAGTTATGCCAGATTTAAATCTCTCCAAATGGAGAGCTCATAAAGAGATTTATATTAACGAACTCCTCCAAAGCAATAGACTGTTGCCATTCAATAACCTCAAATCCAAAATTAATTTCTCGGACATAGAAGTCTTTTCTTACTAAATCAATATGTTCCATTGCTATTGATTTAATTAGACAAGTGTATTCAGACATTCACCCTACAGCTAAAAAGCAATGGGAAAAAGATTTTAATGTCAAATTATCTGACAAGACTTGGTGCTCACCTATGAAATTACTTAGAAAACATATACATTGCTTAAATTTAAACAAAACTTTTTTTTAAAGTTCTTCACAGGTGGTACCTAGTTCCAACAAGGTTGGCTAAGATATCCTCGTCCAATTCCTCCCTGTGTTGGAGATGTCTAACACATGAGGGACATATGTTACATATCTGGTGGGGTTGCCCAAAAATAAGCACCTTATGGGATTCAGTATACCTTTTTTTGGAGTCTTTTAATAGTAAAGTAAAAAAATGCCCACAGGCAGGTCTACTCCATCTCAATTGGGATAGACTCCCAAGAGATCAATTGGTACTGACCATCCATTCCTTTATAGCGGCGGAAATACTAATTGCAAGAACTTGGAAACAAATAACAACGCCAGATATGAAACAGTTTATAGCTCAATTGTTATTCCAGCTTGAAATGGAGAGAGGAGTCGCATGTTCAAATAATAATAGAAAATACATATACCATTTTGATAATTGGATAAAAAAGATTAAAGAACATTTTCAATAAATACTTATTCTCCTTATCATATCAGATAACATAGGTTTTTCTTCAAATAATTTTCCTTTTGTCAAATATATAGACTCCAACCAATAATTTATGAATGATTGTTATGTTTGTTAAGTATGTCTTGTTACGTGTTAATTAATTGCAACTTTTTCTATACTAACGGTAACCAAAGTAATGTATTTGTGAATGTAAAAAATATTTAAATAAAGAGAAATTTAAATATATAAAAAAGACACCTGGATCATTTGAAATCATGGACCATTTCACATGTAGCTAGATAATAGGCTTAAAGTCATAGTTGTAAGACTTTATTTTATTAAGACATGTCTTAATGAATCCACAGATGTGGGTTACTCTAGGAAAATATTTTGCACGGTAATTTCAACGATTTGTTTTAAACACACTGATCAACAGCTATCCAACAGTACTAGATATAAAACTGTTATAAAACGGAAAATCTCTTTCATGTCTGTTTTTACTATATGCTATGTTATTATAGCCTTTAATAACTGGGGGAAAAAAAGCAAACAACATTTTCGTCTCCCGAACAACATGAATTGATAAAATATTTACTCACATAACATGAATCACACTGTTTGATAAGACAGGTTTCACTATGTAATTAGCTACATTTAATGGGAAATGTAAAAAGTAAATATTCTTAGTTAAAGGAACACTCCATGTAGTGATTATGGTGCAAGGAGTGCTCTATGACTCCACAATATAAGTAGTTATACTGTTTGCTGATGGTTTGAGTTTGTACCTCGTGTCTGGCAATGAGCTAAGCTGGATGATGCAGGGCTTAGCTCATTGGCTGAGAGTGATCAGTTGACGCTATCAGTTAATATGCTGGCCACGAACAGTAGGGCTTAGCACAGGGCATCTAATGGAGGCTTCTGGTACTCTTGTTTGGAAGCAGAGAGTTACAGTTTGACTAATTACATGGGGGTGCCAGGGCATTCCTGATACTATAATCACTAAAGCACGGGATAATGTATATTGGAGTGTTCTTTTAATAAAAAAGTGAGTCTTTTTTAAGGAAAAGAAAATGTCACAAAAAGCAATATAGTGATCAATGCAGTGTGCTACAGCCCTTTAAATCTCAGAAATTTACAAATAGGTGAATTATCTGTATTTACTGTATGTGCGCGTTTTACTCAAATAAAAACCTTTTTATTTTCAAAATCTCCTTAAAGGATGAGCACACAAATGAAAAATACATATTT